CCCTCCAGGGCCTTCCTCAAGCCTTGCAGCTCAGCACTCAAGCCAGCAGCTCAAGGAAGGCCAGTGACTGCTGTGTTGTACTTATCAGCATCAACCCCCAGCCTGATCAGCAGCTCTCACTGGAGGGGTTCTCAGGTGCCTGCCACCACACACAGCACTCCTGAGGACAGCCTGAGCACAGCCCTCCCTGCAGTAGCAGCTCAAGTCCCTCCCGCTGTCACAGAGAAGAAAGGCTGGGAAGCCACGACAACAGCCACACACCCCTCTGTAACAGCTCTCTCCTTTTATCCTTCAGAGGGGCTTTTGCCTTGAAGGTTTCAGAGTGATTAGCACTTGGAAGCCTCAGCTACCTGCCAGGCAATGCCCACACGCTGCCTGCAGTTCCAGCCTGGCACATTTTCAGCAGCTACACATCATCAATGCGCTCAAGCTGATTGCAGAAACAAGTTGCTCTGAGAAACACAAGAGCCAGGGGCTAGAAAGTCAGCAGGAGCATTTTCCCAGCATCACAGTGACTGGAGCTGTAACCTTGCAGGATAGAGAATGAGACAGCAGCCGCCAGCGGAGAGGGCATGAAGGAGGCTGGAGCTGCAGTCTCAAGAGCAGATCCAAGGAAAAGCTCTGATCTGTTGCTGCATCAGCAACTTCAGGGTCACACAACAAGCAGAGACACACACAGTAAGGTGGTCCATCCAACACCATCAGGAAGCGCTCAGCTGCCCAGGCTGGGTGCCTGGAGAGGCCAATGATCTCTTCAGAGGAGGAGCTGATCCTTTTGAAAACCCCCTTGCTGGTTGGCATTGCAAACCCAGTGTTAACAGACTGCTTTTAGGATGATTTCCCAGTGGGAAAGTCTGCTGTCCCACATAGGGACAGCCTCCCAATGTAGGGCAGGACAGACCAGCCAGACCAAGCAGTTGGCACACAGCTAGAAACCAGCCAGGGAGACACAAAATCTGCACACAGATCTGCCTGTGTCCTGCTGTCACCTGTTCTCCAGGCAAAAACTGGATCAAGACCCCATTTCCTCATGCTCCTTGAGGAGCAGGGCAGGGAAGGTAAAGGATACCATCAAGGGCAGTCCCGTCTCACTGCCTCTAACCCTCCTTGCCTCTGCAGTGCGATGACTTGAAGGTTTAAGCACATGCATCTGCCTATATGAGGCTACTTTAAAGAAGGGGAAACACTGCCTCAAGAAATACACCCAGGGATGGCCGGACTGGAAGTGGTCAAGGCCAGTTTCCTGCAAAAGCCCCTCCCTGGGCCACACAGCAGGTTTCTGGGACTTGAAGTATTTCCAGCCTGGCAGATCTAGTGGCAGCAGTGGGTTTGAGATGCCTTCCCTGCTATGAGACAGCAGTTCAATCCTACAGCCAATAAATGCAGGCAGCTTGAGCCTGCAGCAGATGCCTCCTCCCAGAAAGGCTCCCTCCAGACACCAGCCTTAGGGACTGGCAGCGCATCTGGCACGCTCAAGGGTGAAGGACACGTCCTCCATGTACTACAGCACTGGACCCAGAAGGAAAACTTGCACCAATAACCTTGTCTGGGTGCAAGGAGCCCTTTGGGAAGTGGGGATGTGGGCAGGATCAGAGCATACAAACCACTCCAGCCTCCTTCAGCAGCAGGCACCTGATCCCACTGCACCAAGCTGCACAGTGACACAGCCCCAGGAGCACAAGGTGACACCAGGAAGGTTTGCAGCCAAAGGTCCTTCCCAGGCCGAGACAGCTCCGTGCTGGAGGGACTGTGCAGAGAGGCCCCAGCTCATCAGTACTGGAGAACAGGCACTGCAGGGGACCACATCAGCAATATTTTTAGCCTGATTGTTCAGGGTTTTTTTGCATTTCCACCCTTCCAGCCACCTCCCCGTGGGTCTGCGCAGCTGAGTCACTGCTGGAACCTTCCAAACGCTTGGGTGCCAGCAGCACAACAGCTCTTCCTGGCAGTGCCACCCCTCCCCAGCCCCTGCAACAGCCCAGCACTGTCACAGCCTCACCTGCTCTTGGGGCACCCCAAGGGAGACCCCAGCCCTGAGGCTCCCAGGCCTCAGCACTAGGCAGCAGGAGCAACCGGACACAGCAGTATCCTTTCCATGTCCTCCTTGTTTCCACCACAGCACTGCCAGGCCACCTGGAAGCATCAGCATCTGCCAGCTCATCCATCTGTACAGCTGTCAGTCACAGAAACACTTCTCTGCCCGCCCAAAAGGGCATTTCACAGCCTTTCAGAAGACGTACAGGAGCCCCCTCCCCAGGGGCTTTTCACTGCCACTCTGGGCCCTTGCAAAGGAGGAAAGATGAAGCTCTGCAGACACATGAGGTGTGGGCCAGCTGAAGCAGTACCACAGCGCTGCACAGGTATCAGCCCTTCACTTCTCCAGCCAGCAAATGCCATCCCCACAGCTCTGCAAACAGGGGAGTAACAGGAGCCCAGACCAAGAAGCACTTTTGGGAAAGGAGAGTGGGACTGAGACAGAGCACTGTGTCAGAACTGTAATACCCCCAGCCACATGGCACAACCCTCTGCAGAGCTGCTGAAGGCCAAAGGCTCCTCTGTGGAAGCAGCACAGCTGCCTTTGGGCTGGTTCTACACCCCAGCCATCCCCCCTTCATGCACCAAGGGGAATACCAGAAGTAGTGAGAAAATAGGCCTCTCCACACAGTATTGGGTGCCATATTCCAGAAGCCATTACCATGCGCTGTCATAAACACTCACTGGGTGCAGACCACCTGAGCCCAGGGCAGTGCCCGAGGTTAGATCCTTTCCACCACCGGCCTCTGCGGCAGCAGGAGCTCCAGCATGAGGCATTGCAGTCAGCAGGGGCACCCAACACCACATACACCCTCAGAGAGGGGATAGGTTGCCAGAGCACCTTCAAATCAGCTCCAAATCCATCTCCCTCCCGAAATCAGAAGCCCCTCCCACCCGGATAGTGACACCCCCACCACAGTCCTCTTGGCCCCACCATCCAGGCCATGACATGCAAAGGCTGCCCCAGGCTTGTGTGAGCACCTCCTGCTTGCCTGAGCACTGCAGACATAGCCCTGCCTCTGCCAAGGCAGCCTGGCAGGATCCTTCCCAGGAGAACAGAGGCAGCAGGTCAGGTTGGGCTGGGACACCCGCACAGAGCGGTCACCTGTGTGTGCAGCAGCCCCTGCTCTGCAGCACCATTGTGCAGAGGCCGGGTGTTGTGAGCAGCAGCAGCACCATTCCATGGGGATGTTGGCTGCTTTAAGGGGGCTCTTCACAGTAAAGATCCTGTAACAGAGGTTCAGTGCCCCATAGTCTGCTAACCACCATGTGCACCAGAGTGAACAGCTCTACGGCACTGGCAGCTACTGCACACTAATAACTTTCATTTCTCCCTACTCTACCAAGGTTTTGGCTGGCAACTAAAGCAGGACAGGTACTGAGCATATGGTATTACCTGGCTCATTAGGGTAAGCCCACAGGACCATGTGCTGGAGGACAGCTACTGCAGCCTGACTGTACCAGCACTTGAGCCAGCAGTACCCTAAGTACCAGTGCTGGGGCCCACACACAGGCCTAGGTGCCGAGTCTAGTGGAAGTTAGCTGCAGGAACTCAAGTGGGCCATGCTGATGAAGCTGATCCAAACTCCACTATCGCAAAACTGATGTTTTTGTTTTACAGCCCATTCAGGGCTGTGTCCCAGAAGCTCTTCCTATACAAGGGCAGTGTCCCAGAAGGGCTTCCTATACAAGGGCAGCATCCCCTGTATATCAGAGGTGGTAAACAGCTCTCCCTTCCCCCCCCCAGACATCTACACGGGCAATGGCACTGCCCATGCCACCCCAGAAGCCATCTACATTCCTGTCAGCACCAACTTTATGCCTGGGGCCTCCCGTGTCACCCAAGCCTGTGTAGAGATGCACTACCCTTTTAACAAAGCAGCAGCGCGCTGCTATAAAAGGATGAGTTTCTGTAGCAACCAGGCTGAACTTGTACAAACTCTGCCAAAGCACTAGATCTTTCCACAGACTGATACTTGAACAAACACAGCATTGCTTGTGAAACTGTTTCTTACAGCCCTCAAAATCTGCGAAATGAACTCTTCCTTCTGTTTTATCCCCCTGCTCTGTCACCACCCTGAGGAGAGGTTAGATGTATACACGCATCACCCCTTTCCCTCCTGTGATATTTGAGAGGGCTGCTGCCTCTGGAAGAGTTAACTGTACCCTGAACCACTGAAGGGGAAGCACCCAGCACCTCAAAACCTCCCAATCCAATGCCAGCTGCAAAACCAGCCTGAAAAGGATGGAGGGGGAAGGGCAAAGCCAGCAGCGCGTGGCTGCAAGCCCAGACCCTGCCCATCATGTAGGTTTGCACTGGACCAAAAGAGTTAAAGGCAGAAGCCATTCCACTGCATCTCCTCCAGCCCACTGCCAGGCACAGGCCGCTATTTCTGGTTGAACGTGGGAGTGGAGAAGGATCCCTCCAAGTCTCCCACCAGGCTGTGAGCTAGTGCCTGAAGTTGCTCGCCCAGTGCCGGCTGCGCCTACCACACCCCACAGGCCGAGTTCCACCGGGAGTGCGGCTGGAGCACAGGAGCGAGCAGGATGGAGCGGGGTGAGGGAAACCCCGCTGCAGAGCTACCTGCCACCAGGTATTTTCAGAGGCTGACGTTGCAAAGTTGAGCCTCCAGACACCACACCCCCCACCCACTCCCTCCAAACAGGGAGAGGATTTCTCATCTCTCAGCGAGGCTATCCCTCCACCAGCCTTGCAGCACCAAGCAAAACAAACCCCGGCACTTCTTGTCTGCAGTGAACTGACAGCAGAGCAGAGGGGGCTGTGGCACCTGCAGCCACAGCCTCCCCAACTCAAACCACCACATTACACAAGAATTACAAGTCACGGAGCCCCCATCAGTAACTGCCAGCGCCCTGTTACACAAGCAAATAGCTCCACATTAGCTTTAAACCAGCCAGAAAATAGAAATGAATCCAACAACTGTTGCTGCATGTGTCAGACTCACCCGACTGTGTGCTGGTTTGTGCTGCAGCGTCAGAGTCCTGGGTGCTCCAGGGTCTGTCCCACCCTGTCAGGTTGAGGGACTGCAGGCCAAGGCACAGATCGTTGGTGTCTGGGAGGCCACGGGAAGACTCTTGCGTGGACGTGGGGAAAAGCATCCTGCTTGCCACTGCTTCTTCAGAGTCCTGGAAGTCTGCTCAGATTGAGAACAAACAGAAGCTTGAGAGTTCAGGGCTGCTTTTTTTTCTTCCTAAAGCAGGAGTTTTTCTGAAGCGTTAAGCCCCGAGCCGGGTCTCTTGCTGCTCTGAAGCCACAGCTCCTGCAACTGGCCGTTGCAGCCCAAAAGGGAGGGCTACCATATGTCCAGAAACCAGCCCCCCACCCCCTAAGCCCCTCCACCTTCCTATCCCGTCTGCATTACTGACTGGGTCAGCATGTGACCAGGCTGCTGATGCTTACTGTGCTGACAGTGACGTCACTCAGCCATGCAAGAGAACTGCATCAGCTCTTACAAAATAAAAGGTAAGAAGACAAGCTAAGATTTCCCCCAAAAGACGAGGGCAGGCAGGAGGAGAGGTGCAGCTCCAAAGAATCGAGGGAGCAGGCAGCACAAAAGCAGGGCTTCACGATACAGCACGGCAGCCAAGGCAGCAATCCCCCCAGCAACGACTAGAGCAGCGGCAGCAGCAGCAGAGACAGAGCAGACAGTTAGTTTTAGTGCTACCCAGCACTCCTGTCCCCGCCTCCCTCCACCCACAAAACCTAAAAACACTTTAGTCCTGGACAGGCTCCAGCTGCTGGCTCCAATTCAGAGCCCAATGCAAAGCTTCACAATTCTGCTAGCATAATCTATTTGGTTCAACTTGGCCACTGTGCCTCACTGACTCTGCATTGTTTACCACCAAGCAACAAGGATAACCTTCAACCCCCAGATACCCAGAGAGAAGCCCATTATCCTGCTCCAGCCTGGGCAAGCACATCACACCAGTACAGGAGGAAGAGAATGGGCTAGAGAGCAGAACCTGTTTCATATCAGGAATTTTTCATGGCCTGTTTACCTCCTGCCTGCCCAGTGCCCCCCTTTCCCTGCAGTCCTCTCCCCTGCAGGGTGTTCACAAGCCTACAGTACTGGAGACACCGGATTCTCGCCTTGGTTTAACCCTGTGCCAACAGCCTAAGGAAACCCAGCAGGTTCATAGTCTGAGAATTCCAGTTTAATGCAAGGATCTGGGGGCTGCTGAAAACACAAGATGCTCAGCTGTGTTACCCAAAAATCTGAGTCAGAGGGCATTTATAAGCCAGCTACCAAGCAGCAGCAGCTGCTCCTCCTCCTCCCCCTGCCCCCACAGCCTCCCACTGTGCCATCAGATGTACACCTCAACACACCCTCCCGGCTCCCCAGCGGGCGCTGCAGTCACTCCAGTCTGTTCACGTTATCCCTCGCGTGCAACCCTGGCCATCCCAGACAGCCCAACAGCATTCCTGGCCTCCTTTTCCACATCCCATGCCACTTAATTACCCACGTCCTAGGCAAGGGCTAATGGCAACTGGGTACCATACACAGGACATAAGCCACTGCTGCCACTGGAGGTGGGACCCTCACCTTCACCCCATGGCAATTTGGGAAGCACCAACATTCCCAGGTCACAGTGAGGGAATACTGCAGCACAGCAGTTGAGACAAAAGCAGCTAAAACTGTACCTGCTGGCAACACACTACCTTCCTTCCCCCTTCCTTCCCAGCTGCAGCCTCCCACAGCCCTTCACCAGGATAGCATCCACCAGGGCTTTTCCTACTCCTAGTAGTACTAGTACAAGCTGTAGTGCCAATTCAGTCACATTACTATCAAGCACCTGTAACAGCATCAGCTATTCCCCCACTAGCACCACAATGCATCTTCAGCAGGGTTTTTCACTGCATTCATTCTTCCAGTATAGTTTTTGGATCACTTGTTTTGGACAGGCCCTAAAAACATTCCCAACGCAGCTGTAGGGAGGAAGGATAAAGGCACATTGCTCAGACAACTCTGTTCCCACAGCAACCATAACTTGCCCATATGAATGTATAACATTCCTGCATTTATGGAAATGTACAAGCCCAGTGCTCCAGCCCAGATCCCCAGCAGCAGGAGACCACCTTCCCTTTGGGGACCAGAATTCCATTAGGTCTTATGCCATCTTCAAGATTAATCCCCACCAAGCTTCACCTTCTGGGAAGCATGGACACAAACGGAAAGCTGACAGAGCTTGAATCCCACCTGGACCCAACATCTTGGATGAAACCCACCACTGAAGGAATAAGGAAAACAGGGAACAAATTCATCAGCAATGGGAAGCATGCAGCCCCAGTTTTTCCCAACTATCCATATTTTTCAGGAAATCAGCTGTTTTGTTTAATGGAATCCAACCAGACTCAAGTTCAGAGGATCCCTCTGACAAACTTCAATCAACATTAAAGACAAGCACCTGCAACCCACTCACAGGCCTAACTGCTGAAGCAGGGTAGGGTTTGCTCAGATGAGCAGCATTTTAGCATTAGCCCTTCTTCCCTCTGCAGCAGACAGGCAGCACAAGTCTGCTTCCCTCACACACCTCCCCATCCCCAACACTCTCAGCCCTGCTGAAAGATGGATCCAGGTCATAGAGGAAAAACATCTTAAACAGAAATCAAACAGATTTCTGGAATAGTTATTCTAAGAGTCAGACTCTGGAAATCTGTTACAAAGCAACTCAGTTGTTGAAGGCAGGCAAAACCAACAGGATACTAGGGCAGGAAGAATTATTTTCCTACAGAAACTCAGTCTAAAGATTCAATCTCAAGTTATGAATAAGCAAATGCCTACCAAATATTAAAAAACTTCACTTTGGAACCTGACACAGCTCAGCCCAGCCTCAATGCTTCCCTGCTGACTTTTCCAAGCCCCAAGAAACCAGTATGAATGTTTCCAACCTGGATTTTTGTCTGGAGTTGCCACTGGAAGCCAAGCATCCTGGCAGAGGGAGCCGTGCTGCTCTGCGCTGGGAGGGGCCGAGCTCCCGCCTCCCGAAGCCCTGAGCTTGTATTTCCACAGCATTTCCAGAAGCGCTCCTCAGTGATGTGCCCACTTACTTCCCAGTCCCCAAGCAGGCAGCTCTCCTGAATGATGTCTACCCATCCGTCCCAGAGATCCCTGGAGCCAGGACACACCGCAGCACAGGCTGGAGGGCTTTCCACACCACTACCCAGATGGGAAGCTGCATTTTTCAGTCTTCAAATGTTAGCACTGCATTTAAGACATGTCAAAGGGTTCTCAAAGGCCAGCATCTCCACACAGTTCAGCTCTCCAGTGCAAGCTGAGCAGCCCAGCCAGCATACACAAGCTACACCTCCAGCCACTTGTCCCCACCCCAGCACACCCTGCCACTTACACCAGTTTAGGCAGATGAGTTTCCACACAGGAAGCTGGGCTGGGGAGCTCAGCTGGTTAAAACCAAGCCATGGGGAGTTAGGTTTAAGGCTGGCTCATTCCCCTGGTCTGGTATGCAGTGTGGCTGCACCAGACAGGCATTTGAAGCAGGAAAAGAGTTAAAAATTACAGCCCAAGCCTTCATGGGGAGGGCAAGCAGGGTCTGGCACCAAGAGCTGGGATCCACAGGCAGTTTGGGGCAGGCAGGTTAAGGCAGCATGGGGGGAGCTAAACCTGATTCAGCCCCTGTCCCATAGCAGCAGCATCTCTGCACCATTAGACTTAGTCTTGAAAGGCGATGCTTCAGCCAAGCACAATGCCACTCAGGTGTCTGAGCCTTCCAGACCTAGGCCATTCACAAAGCCAGTTACAAAGCCAGGAAACAAATCGGTTTTAAATGAAAAACCTGAGAAAATCCAGAGACAGAAGGCAACAGAATGGTTAAGCAAACATGAACCAAACAAGCTAGATCCCACTCCTCCCACCTCTGCAGCCAGAAAAGGTCTCCCTTTGCTCCCACATGCTAGTTTCTAACAGAGCCTGAATACAGAGGAGGCCCCTCCACAGACAAGGCTGGCTCCTGAGCAGAGTGCAGGGGAAGGATAAGCACAACTCAGCTGCCAGCTCTGCCCGCTGACAAAACCAGACTCACCTCTAGAGCTCTCTCCAAGGCTGAACTTTCAAATCAAATCCAAAGTAAGAGGCAAGGTGAACATTTCTGAGGCTTCTGGATCACACAAATGGATTCACAGCAGAAGCTGTGTTTTGCCTTTCACACCTCTTTACACCTCCAGTTGTAAAAGCTGGGAATTGCATCACTGAAAATTCAACTTCTTAAGTAGGTTTTGCACACAAGGCAAGCGACTCAAGCGAAAGGGTTTAAAGGATGAGTCAGTTGTATTCCTGAGGTACGGCATGGATCATCAGGGGCTTCAGGAAGCTCTTGTTAGGCATAAACCTGCTAGTTACAGGAGGTTTTTCCAATACATAACTAAACATCTTCCCTGTAATCTGAAAAATTCCTCAAGTGGAGACACTTGCTGCTGCACGACCCGTTTCACAGCCAGAGGGAGAAGTCTGCCTTGTTCCCATAACCACAGACACTTGAACAGCTGGCAAGCACCTACATAAACTAAGGAAGAGCAGCTCACCCTGCTGCTCTGCCTACCTCTTCCCAGAGGAAGAGCCACAGGATCACAGCCCCAAAACTTGACTGACAGAGCACATTACATCATAAAATCTGCTGGATCCTCAGCACCACCATCCAATTAGTAACCACTTCAGAGTGCCACAGCTCTAGGCTAAGTCCCTGCTCTCTATAGAGCACCCACTGTGATCTGTTGAAGAAACCCATTTACTTAAGCTATCTCCCAGCACAGAAAAGCACTGGATCCAGCTAGGCAAAGACCTGTTAATGTGACACCTGAAATATAAAGGCCTAGAACCAAAAGCAGTGGGTGTACATCTCTTTTGAGGCACAGGCATTGAAGTTCCCCATTCTGCATGTGCACTCCTGGCACACAGCAATTACTTGGGTAAGGCAGAACAGTTCGCAGGTGCCAGGGCCAGGTGAGCTCCTGCTAACAGCCTTGCCCTGCCTCAGGCACCCTGGTAACCCCATGTTCCCCAGCCAAGCTGTGCTACATTCTGGGTCTCAGCATCTGCAACACATTGTCCCTGCATGCAAGACCACACAGATCAGGTCAGCTGCATCTGGAGCAGCCCAGACTTTCCTCATGGCTGCAGGGCAGTGAAGAGCAGAAGAATTTACTTTATAGTATCAGAGGGGACTTTCTGGGTGGTCAAACAAGGGCTAAGTCATTAATTGAGTGCACTTGAGGGCAAGCAGGAAGGCAGTTTTGTCATCAGCTACTCTGGGCTTGCATTTGTCCTTCAGTTTTCCTTAAATAAAGTAGCCACTGAGAATTGTTAGGACCTGATGGGCCATAAGTGACTGAACTAAGCACCCCAACCCACTCCCATCCCCAGGAAGTCATTGAAGCAGCTCCTTTTTTTTTTTTTCCACAAAAAGAACTGTCAACTCTAAAGCAAAATAGTGGCTGCTTTGTCTCAGTTAAGCGAGCAGAGGTTAATGAAAGGGAAATCAAGGCTGCTGGGACACTTGGAGTACCTACAATCCTTTTACACCCTTTGTGTTAAGCCAGCATTGCCTTCAGTTGAAGCCAGGGGAGGAAATGGGCATGCAAAAGCTGAAGACAGAGCTTTATCCACCACTCTACTCAAGATGGAAGGTATGCCAGCACAACAGGATGGTAATTTCAAAAGCTGGTTTAGGGGTTTTAGCCAAATCTGGTAACAGCAGGTTCCACCCAGCAAGGCCCAACTTTAGAGCCTGGCCAACAAACCACCTACTACCTTCAGAAACTGACTTTGCTCATGCTGTTATTCAGGCTGGCGATGAACAATCAGATCAGCTTTAAATCTGGGAGAGGAGAACCACATTTCCTGTGAAGCAGCAGCTCAAGGACAGGCTATGCTCCAGCAACACTGGCAGGAGGGGAGCTGGTGGCAGGCTGGCTACTGCCTCTATCAAGGCAATGTTTTCTCTCCCATCTCCAACACCACACTGAAGGTTAATGTCTGCACTACACACTCAAAAGAAGACTGAATCAGCCTGAAAGGCAGGTGTTTTGAAGCACCACATGATACTGCCCCAGAAGCTACCAGACAGGTTATACAATTACAGCTTTCACCACACTGCTCCACTGTACCCTTCAGTCTGGGCCAGCAATCTAAGCCTGGTGGTTGGGGAGCTCCCAAACTGCTGCAGTGACAGCCAGGCCAGGCCTGACAACTCCACTCATTTTGGGAAGGCAACTAAGTTCACCAAGGATTAGCATTAACTGCAAACTGATCTTTCCAGAGATTTAATATTAGGTACAGCAAGCTCAACCTCCAGTGGCAGCCCCTTCTGCTACAGAGCTCTGTGTAACTCCCCAGCTGCTGAGCAAGCTTGTTCTCTCACATTGCTCACCCGGCTGCTGTGCTGATCTATTCTCACACCACCTTGCCACACACCTCATCACACCAAGGAAGGTGTCTCCACACGTGTTTCCCCAATAGCATTAGTGAAAGGTCATGAACTTCTGCCTTCCCTTCTCACCATGTGTAATCCTCTTAATGCTGAGAGGGGCTTCTTAAACACAAGTCCAATCCAGGATAAATTTAGTTTGACCTGAGGAAGACAACTGAAAAGCTTGAGGGACCATGAAGAGATTAAAATACAAGTATTTCCCCTGCTAGAACAAAATCACTGCCCCAAGCTCACCCTCCAAAAGTGTTTGTTATAAAGAGACAGTCCCTTCTCCTGTTACAGCTACTACATTCAGAGTGGATCTCCAAGCTCATTAGGCCTGCCCAAGCCATGAGTTTCATGATAATAGAGCTTAACTACAATGCACAAGTTGTTCTTGCACTGAGTAAAAGCACCAGAGGCTCATGAATTCTTCAGAAATGATTTAACCTGGGCCAATGACAAGACCCCACGTAAGATCAAGGGTCTCTGCTCTGCTGGTCACCTACCTGGAAGCCAGGCTTACTGAAGGCAAGACTGATCCTGCAGAGTCTCATCTTGCTCACTCAGAGGCACAGCCCACAGCTACAAGAGCCCACTTCTAGCTCTAAACCACCTGCCCCACACAGGGGGGCTCCATTATATTCTGGTTTAGTAATCAGCTGCTCAGCCTTACAGCCACTGGGTACTATTCCTACAAAAGACAACCCAAGCCAGGGGCCAAGTGCTGACACCTCCCCACCTGCAGGTCACTGCTGCCCAAGGATTCACATCCTTGCTGACAGCACCAGCTTCATGGAGAAAATGCTCAATAGCAACACATGAAATAGATTCTGTTCATCTTTTCTGACCTAGAGAGAGAAGGAAGCTTGCAGAACTGCTGCATTCAGACCCTCATCACCTACTGAGACATCCTGACTAAATGCAAAGGAAGCTAGGCTGGCACTGCAAGGAGACTCATAACTCTGAACCCTGATGCACTGGCAGATGCTGACTCATCCACGTATTTCAGCTGATAACTGCTGCCTGGCTGGGGCAGCACAGGTTGTACTCTATTATCAGCCTCTCTTGTAGCCCTAAGCACTTTCTGAAGGAGAACCCACATCTTCCATTAGCCTGAACAGTGAGGGCAGCCCTGGCAGCCACTCTCAGCCCTGGCTCAGCAGGGTCCAGCTTCCTTCAGGAAGCCTCTTTTCCTCCCACCACCACAAACATTTGTGCCACTGCACAAGGGATTTGATACAAGCTAAAAGCCTTCTGCCAGGTTAACTCACACTGAGCAGGGCCTCCACCCTCATCCCCAAGGTGTGGAAGTGGCTGTGCCAACACCCAATTGCGAGACTGGCCTCAACTGCTACATCAGGAACAAGAAAAACTGCTTAGGATGGCCCAAAAAGCACAACTTTGGTTGTCCTGCAGCAGAGAGTGTTAGAGGAAGCCCCCCTTTTCTACATGCAAGCCACATCATACTTTCTTGGGAGAGCTCTTGCCCCAGCTTAGAGAAGAGCTTCCATGGTCTAGAAGCCAGTACTGCAAATTAAAATGGATGTTCCGGCTCCAGACCTCAAACCAGAACTAACCCAAATCATCTCTAGTGGCAGGGGTGTTTCTTTTACCAACTAGGTTAACTTCGACAAGTAAAGTGAAACTTAATAAAGAAACATTCCCATTCCAAATTCTAAATGGAGTATAAAGGCCTATAGCCAAGATTTCAACAAGGCAGCCAGAACCAACTCTTTTGTGAACTCACTGTAAGGAGATAAAGGAAAATACTGTGGTTTATTTCTCCCTCATGCTTCCAGCACATCAAGATCAGATACAACTCTGACTACCACTGTGCCACGGGACAAAAACAAAGTCCCGTGAGTCTGAACAGCTCAGTACCACAGCAAATCTCTAAAAATGCACCACTAACCACACCACTGCCCTGAATTTGTTCATATTCACTGTGCAGCAGCTGAGGAGTAGCCAGCACATCCTCCAGTACCAGTTTATCAGGCATGCTTTAAGCAGTGCTGGCTATAGATCCATGCCTCGAAGCAAACGATTCCCTTCCTCTGGCTATTCTGCAGCGCCAGCAGAGGATCACATGGCCAGATGAGCCCCTGGTGCACAGTGCTAAGCCCTTCAATACCCTGGAGATTAAGCTGCACTGGAAGTCATCTGGTAGCAGTCACTGCACAAGCATCAAACAGACCCACAGGATGCTCAGACACCCCTTTGCAGTTTGTTTGTTTTCTGGTTTCTTTTGACACCCACATGAGAAGTCATCTTACCTATGAGCATGAGACAGCCCTGCCTCCAAGTGACTGCAGAGAAAGCTGCTCTGCCTCCAGCAGCCTGCAAGGTCACCACCTGGCAAGGCCTTTCCCTTTACTTCCCACTTTGTTTTGGGACAAGTCCAGAGGGTCAGTTTGTTTCCAATAATGGCCAGAGTGTTTATTGACCCTATAACTCAGAGGCTGGAAGAGCAACAGCAATCTCTGAAGTGCCCAAATCCTTGGCACAAGTACCATTGCCCAGAAGTGCACTGGCAGGAGGAGCATCAGGCAGGTACTCTTATTGGCAGATCTTGCCTCCTCTAAAGGGACAAAAGCATGTCCTTCACCTCCACAGAAATAAAATTGGAACCAACACCCTTTGCTTTGGCAGTTCTGCAAGATGGCAGATACATGCCCGCTCCCCTAAGCTGCTGAAAGCACAAACTTGTAGTGCTGATTTCATAATACCACACCTGCTTTGCAAGAAAGTCCTCACCCACCTGCACTGCTTTGGTGTGCTCTTAAATATACAATTAACTGGCCTGTAGCAAACATTTATTCAAAACCCTTTTGCGTTTTCAATGTAAGCAACAGGTCAGCCATACTAACTGCTAACAGATTAATCCTGCCTCCAGGAGAGGCAAACTAAAGGAGTCTGCTGGAACTAGCTACACCAGGAAAGAGCTCACATCCTTCCCACACAGTGACCCACAGCATCACAGGGAGTGTAGGCAAGACTTCCCAGGCACCCCACGCTGCCAGGAAATACTTATTCATTTCAGGCACACAGGTGAAGTCCTCAGTACCAAAACATCATTAACCCTGACTCCAAGAAGCTCTCTGGTCACGCCAACACCCACACCAAGAATCATCACCACACATGTTCACTGGGTCCCAGCAAGCAACTCCCCCCTTCTCCAGTCCCAGATCCTCCCTCCCACCTCCATACAAGCCAAGCCCATCACCTGGCAGGATGTCACATTTGCTTTTTGTGACAGGCGTGGTGCAGACTCCACTGAAATCCAAAGAGTTGTCCAACATTGCATTTATCCGGCGGAATATATTTGCATTGCTGCAAGTGGAGAGTGCAGGGGCACTAGGGCTATCCCAGCAGTCCTTTATGCTCCTCCCAGGATCTTCTTTCTGGTGAAAAAGAAAGAATATTGGTGTCAAGCAGGCTACTACTCACCACTTAGTTCTCAACACCTTGTGGGAAGTCTGGATTGCCTCCAAGACTAACATTAGCTTTAGCTCCAGGTCTTAGCAACACCCAAGTGCAATTCTTAGTATTAAAGAAACAATTAATCAAATGGGTCAGCAATTTGTCAGCACAGCTCATGAGACCTGCCCCAGCCACAGCAGGTACCAATGCACCATGGCTGGGATGAACTTCAGACTAACAGCCACAGCACACAAGCTAGTTTGGTTGCTACCATGAGCTCTCTGCTGCTTCTGACCAGCACATCACAGCAGTAAAGTGGAGATCTTACTAACCTTCATGTGGCTTCTCCCCAGAATCAGCCTCCTGACACTGAGGGACTAGAGGAATGCTTACAGTGAAGGAAGCCACCATGAAAAGCCACAGTAGCTCCTCCAGTGCATGGCTCCCACCCATGCTTGGGAGCTCTGAATGTCTTGGAATGGCCCAAGCCAGTAGCCAAGCAATCACTTCAGAAAGCAGACTTGCAAACACGTGGCTTCCCAGGCAATTAAACAGCCCCAAATCCTGTGGTTTCCCTCGGGAAGGCAGAAAAATCAAATCCTGATCTTCCCTTCTACCTAAAAGCAGCAGCTCCCAACCACAGAGGGAGGTTACCCCAAACCAGCTTTGCTTCAGCACAACCCTCCACAGCCACCAATCTACCAGCACTGAGGTTTTGGGTCCATTGCAAGCCACCACAGCTCCTGTAAAACCATCAGAGCTCTGCATGATAAAGATCAACCCCTTCCTGCTTTTACTGCTGGTCCAGAGAACCAGCTAGAGTAGCTGCTTCCTCCAGCTCTTCTTGCAAGCCACTTCTGCATCCAAGCCTGTTTCAGTGCAGCTGCACGGCATTCCAGCCTCTGCCAACTTAAAAGCCTCTAAACTTAATCTCTAAGCAGCATTTCTGGACTGAGGGCCAGTCTGCCTGCCACCCAAAAGCCACTGCAGCACAACTCTGCTCCTGAACATGCTGAGCAAACGCTATCACTGGCAATTAAGACCCACGTTAAAGAGAACAGCAGAAAGACACAACCTTGCCAGTTCTGGCCTCCAGAGCAGAATCCTTGCATTAAGCAAATCGAGTTAAAGCCAGATTCAAAGACCTGAACTGCAGCAGGGCTGGCAAATGAGCGCCTGCTCCTCCCAGAAACATGCAAACCTATACCTCTAAACTGGGCCATTTGTACTTGTCAAGGAGATATTTAATACATCTACCTTCTGTATGCAGTCCTGCATGTGGTTTGGGCCTGACTTCCCTGACACTTATCCTCCAGCTCAGCCACTGGCAAGCCTGAAACACCGACCTGGTTTTCCTTCCAGAAGATCCCTTACCAAGCTTTCCAGTATGCAGCCTATGGCAGGTCTAAACCGAATTTCACATGCACACAGGAACTTTAGCCCAGCCTAAGTGTGCAACTTGCAGCTCCCCCCTAAACCCTGTCATTAGGGGCAATTTTACTGCTACAATGCACGATGTGATAGTTTTCCTCCACACAGAGAGCATGTAGCTAAAAAAACAAAGAGAACCCTTTCCTGGAAGGAGCAGGAAAAAGTTGCTGAGCTGTCAACACACACGATGCCTCCAGGCAGGACCCGAACAATTGATTCAGGATCTCAGACCCTTAAAAGACTATTAACATCTACTCAGTACAGGGTCCCGGATCTTTTATCTATTGAGCGGCTCAGCCCACCCCCAGGAAAGGTCCTGGCATTCTGTGGGCACAATGCAGGAGCATTCACAAGCCAAGAGGAAAACATGGAGGGCTGAAGACGAGCTTCAGGCAGGAGAAAACAGGCAGAGCAAGCTTTAAGTCATCTTTATAAAAAGCAGCTGAGGAAGCTGAAAAAGCTATAAATTGAGCTGAAAGAAACTCAATTTAATAAAGTACTGCCAGTTATCTTGAATAAAAAGTGCCACATTAGGTGTCTTTGGCACCGGGGTGAAACTCCGTATTCCACCCCTGTTACTGCTAAAGAACCACCCCCAGCAGGAGGGAAGGCATTTCCCTCAGAGTTCGTGCTAGCAAGACAAAAATAAACCCGAGCAGCAAACCAAATGCCTGTCCTGTTCCTGCTCAGTTCCCAAAACTGGCAGCACCGGTGCTGCTACAAACAAGAGCAGAAAACAGTAAGAGTACAGCCAAGAATCTCCAAGAACATTCCTTCCACTTACAGCACTTTTACCCTTAAGACTGTCAAGTATATCCTAGAGATACAGCAAGCATCCCAGACGCAGGAGCTGGCATCCAATCCCTCGGAGGAAGTGGCTTGTGTCTACACCTCCCCTTGGTAAAGCTCCTCCCTAAATCCCTAAAACAGAGGTACTCCTTTGAGCCGATCTCCTCAGATCTTCAAAGCATACAGGGCCCAAACTATTCAGCAGCCTGGATAGTCCCTTGGAAAGGGTGTGCAAATGTGTAACTGGAGAATACATCCATAGCCTTTAGTCTCAGCAAATAAAGCACAGGGAAATATCACACCTGAGGCTGCATCCTCCAGAACCTGCTCTGTTCCCACATCCCCAGGCCAAGACAAGCAAAGGAGCACTCAAGCCCAGCAAGGATTCACTTCCAGTGCTCCATCTTGAAGGATTTCACAACAGTTAAACTCACATAGGCTTCTCTGGCAGTCCTCCATACAGCAGCAGCAGTTACAGCCCAGGCACAGAGCTGGTGATCCCCTGCTTCAGTATCACAGACACAGCAAGGTGAACCTCAGACAGTAGTCCACTCGATCCTGGCTCAGCTAAACCCTCAGGCAAGAACCCATGTCCATGCAGGAAGATGCATCCGCAGGATGCTATGAGGATTTGAAGAGGGACTGTCGGGCTCCAGACACTTCTATCATTCCAAAAGCCATCAGAGATGTCCAACGTGAGTGGAAATGAAGGCACCTCCACAGCTCTGAGGCAGACTAACCTGCAGGAAACCTACAGATAATGAAATCCCAGGGCTAGGCAGAACCCACAGCAGCCCCACACAGGATCAGGATACCCTGTTCCTCAGGGAAGTCATTAAACACAGCTCAGCTGCTGGTATGGCCAAGATCTGCATTAGCTCCTTGAGACTACTCTGCAGCAGAGAAGGCTTCTCCACAGCAGCTACCACTCAGCCTTTGCTTTTGACATCTTTTGTCAAAATCCCACCGAGGCAGCACCAAGCCAATGCCCAAAGGGGTTCTCAGCACTGCATCTACAGCCAAAGGGGCCTTGAACCCCAAGACAACATGTAAGATGCTGTTAAAATGGTGCCAGTCTCAACATAATCAAGCCAAGGTAACTCCATGCTTTGATGAAAGGCAGCTCTTAAAAGTCCTTTTGTACTGGTAAATTTCATTTCCCAAGCTGAAGTCAGCTACACCAGTTTAAAGCATAATATTGGTGTAACTGCTCCTACCAAGCAGCAGCACTCATCAAACAACACCCCCACCAGCACAGGGGGAGGGTTAGGGTAGCCTGCACCACACTCACAAAGGGCGAGCTTCAGCAGCTTCTCCAAGGTTCAAGATGGGGAGGTCTGGGAGACACCTGACTGGAATCAAGGTTGGAAGGGATTTTGATGGTAGCACTTTACAGGGGGGTGCTGACTTCAGAACAGCACCGATTTCACCAGAACTCCTGTCTCTCAGGAAGCTCCCCTGTCAAGGCACCTACTTTATGGTATTCTTTTTATGAAACAAGACATTTTGAAGCCCTCACTCAAGCAACACCACAGCTGTGTGTTTCAGCACATTATAAAAGCAGAACAAGGTCTCATTTGGTTTAGGAAGACTTGCTGTTTAGGGAAGCTGCAGCAAAGCAACAGAATCCTCAAAATCCTCAGAAAGCCCAGATTCCACCCTTGGCATACCCAACCTGAGCCCTCAGCAGCACCCCAGCTGCAGCACATATCATCACCCTGCCACAAAAGCAGCTGCAACGAGTGATAATTGGGTTTAGCTGGGGAATACAGGAGGGTAGAAATAAACACGCTTTTCAGAAAGCCTCTTGGCCACACAGCACAACCAGGGACCTAGTCTCCTGGGTCACCAGCAAAGCTCTGTTTTGCTACACGGGGCTCACAGTCACCTGTTTAAGTATAAAACAGCAGCTCCGTTTGCTCTGTATGCTAAAAAGAAGAGCTCAGAAGCACTCGGAACCACCTGCTGCCAAGCAAGCCCAGGAGCACCTCAGCCAAAACACACCCACCACCAGGAACCAGAGCTCAGCACCTGCAGCTCAGGTCACCCCTAATACCCTGCCATGAGGGCACCCACGGGCACCATACGCTCCCCGAACTGGGACCACTGGGTTTCTTCCAGTGCCAGCTTCACCCCTGCAGGTGGCAGGGGGCTGCTGATGGGCTCCCTGAGGCGAAGCTCCCTCAGAGGCCGCTGTTCTCTCAGGGCACGGAGCCACCGCACCTCAGGGCGCCACGCAACAGCGGGACCCGGCTCCGGAGGAGGAAGGGGGGCGAGCGGGGACTCATCCCGCGGCTCCCCCCGCCCCGGAGCCGGTCCCCGCGGGTGCGCTGAGGGCCGGGCCCCCATCCCCGCTCCGCCACCACACGGGCGAGGAAAGGGAATCACCTCAGCGCCGCTCCCGCCCCCCACAACGCCGCCAACGTGTGAAACCACGTGACGGGGGAGTCCTTAAAGGGGCCGCGCCCGCCGCCTCGGCTCCGTGAGGCACCGGGCCCGCCGGCACGTGTCCCTCCCGGTCTCCCCCCACCTCTCACCGGCGGGAAGGCCATGGGCGGCGCTGCGGGCGGGCGGATCCCGGAGGGGAGGGGAAGGAAGCGGCAGCAGCGGGGAGCCCTGCCCGCCCCGCCGGCTTTTATGTGCGACCGCCCCGCCGGGTTGGGGTGGGGGGGGGGAACGCTGCTGAAGGGAGGGGCCACAGCGCATGCGCGCGGGGCCCGCCCGCCGCGTGGAGCGCGCCACTGCCCCCCTCAAGCTGCTCCTCCCGTGTCCCGGCGTGCTCCGCGCGGGCGCGGCTCCCGCTCTCCTCACGACGCCCGGCGCGGTCCCGGCTTCCGGGGCCCCCTCACGGCCGGGGGCGGCGCCCGCGGGGTTACGGCGGGGAGCGGGGGCGGGGAGCGGGGGCTGCCGCCGGCCCGGCCCGTGCCGGAGCGGGGTTTTCCCGGGGGGAACGAGCCGGTGGCGCCCGGCGCTTCCTGGAGCGGCCGCTGCGGGCAGGGGCCTCTCACGGGCCAGAAGCGCAGAGGGGGTTCCGCTGGGGGCCGCCTCGCCCTGCGTGTTCCGGGTCAGCCCTTCCCGTGCTCGCTGCCGGCCGCGGCCGCAGGGCAGCCGGGGCTCTCCGAGCCCGCCCAGCCCGTGCTGCAGCAGGCACTTTTCCACCTCTTTTTGCCTTTGTAATCCCAGTTCGGAGATGAAAACCTCCCCAGGGCTGGCGCCAGGGATCCCTCCCGTGACACTGCAGAATAGACCCGGCCCTGATGCTGCAGGCGTTTCTGCCGTCAAAGCACGAGCTATTCCACTTGGAATAAATAGCTGGAAACCTCCCAGGACTCCTTAGATCCCTGGATAGCACCGAACGCCTCCTGTCCCCCTCTGCAGGGCACCTGTGTCCATGTGGGGTTTTCTCCAGCAGCCCTGGGGGACTCGTGTTCCCATTTGCTAGTCCCCTGATGTCCCCAGTGCTGCCCCAGGGGGGCTGGCAGAGGCCAGCGTGGGGCAGTTCGGGGCTGATCTGGCTGCTGCGCGCACAGAGCAGAGCAGGGGAAGGGAGCGGGTTTGAGACGAACTTTATTGGGAGATCCTGGCCATAATAAATAAGGGTTACACTGGGAGATGGGGAGAGGGGCTGGGGGCTGGAGCCAGAACCACCCTTCTGAGCGGGACATCACTCTGCATCCTGTATGCCCCATATGGCTCCGTCCTCCCAGCAGTGAAGCTGGCCCAGGGGTCACTGCCTGCTGCCCCTCCGGGGACCGGAGCAGGGGATAACCCAGCAGGAATCAGGGCAAGGAGTGTTTTGGGGAGCAGTGTGGGGCAGAGCAGGGTGGGAGGGCAGGGCCTGGCTGTCACTGCGCCAGGGCCTGGATGATGTCCTTCACCAGCATGGTGCCGATAACCATCTTCTCGCTGTTGACGGTCAGCTGGGCCGCAGCACCCTCCCATCGCTCCAGGGTGATGAGCACGAGGCTCCCGCTCGTCATCGTCTTGGCTGCGAACCTGCCCACCGGTGAACATAGGGTTCAGGGTGAGCTGTCCCCCTCTCACTCTCCTGCCCCCAGGATGCTCCGGTGGGAACCAGCGAGGCATCCTCCACGCCCAGCCACCATCACATGTGGGTTCATGCAGGCTTTTTGTCCCAAAGCAAGCCCTGAGCGCCCCTGCTGCGGTTGGTGTGGGACGGGAAGGTGACAGCACTACCTGTACTCGTTGTTGGCACCGCAGGGCACGCGGCCCACGTTGGCAGCTGAGGTCACTTGCTGGACGATAGCGTGGTCGCTCCGGCACTTCTCGGGCAGCGTCAGCTTCTCTGTGATCTCGCTCATGCCCGTCAGCTTCCCTGGAGCGGGCAGCAGAGGCACCTGCCTGTCTCTGGCCACGCATCCAGCAGCCCTGTGCTTGCCAGGCCCTGTTTTGGCATTCCCAGACCAAGCCCCTCCAGCTGCCAGCTCCCTGCATCTCTGTCCCCCATGACATCCCAAGCTGCCTGCCCTGCTTGCTCCTCTCCAGCCTAGCTGGAAAAACCTTCTTCCACAACCCTTACTGGGCTCATTCCTGTGTCCCTGCCCAGTGGCAGCGTTCCTGGGGACAGGCTCGTCCAGTCACCAGCAGCAATGGGGCCAGGTGCCACAGGGCACCGAGCACCCACCGCTTAGCACAGACCCCTGTCTGCTGCTCCTCCAGGAGCAGGGGGATGCTGGGCCAGGGTGTCCCCATCACTGGGAGCACCAGGGTGGCATGAGTCCTCCACGGTGTGTGGGGACCTGGTGGGGCCACCCTGGTGCCAGGGCAGTCACTGCAGGGGGACGAGGGGGCAGAGCTAGTCTATGGACCTGCCAACAGGCCACTTACCCTCGCCTGGCTGTGCGAGGTGCTCTAGGGCCATGGTGAGAGCAGCAGAGGGGACAAAATGGGGCATGAACATTGGCACTGGGGCAGTGGGTGCCTGTGCAGCCCCTGTCCCTGTCCCCCACTCACCCTGCTCCTTCTTGAATTCGTTCTCGCTCATGAAGACAGGGGCCATGAGCTCCCCCACGGGCGGCTGGATGGAGACGTAGAAGTGGCGCGTGTGGGTGCTGGGGAGACAGGCAGGTGAGGGGGGCACATGCTCAGAATGTCCCTTCTTGTGTCCCGCTTCCCATCCCTGCCCTGGGCAGGCAGTGGCTGGAGGGAAACTGAAGCACATAAGGCCTTGGGAATAGGGGGAAGTCAGGCTGCACCTGGGGCTGCTGCCACCTCCTTGTCTCCCCCCCAGTTTCTCCCCTCCCATGAAGGATCCAGGTGCCTGTCCTGCTATCCCCCATCCCCAGAGCACCCCTGGGACACTGGGCACTCACCACAGCTGGAAGTTGGCTGCCTGTGTGGAGTCGCAGAAGTCGATGCCCATCACCACGTTGGCCGTGTCCCCGGGCGCGAGGCGCTCTGAAACCACAGTGCTAACACTGCATCCCGTGTCCCCTCCACCAGCCAAGCCCTGTCCCCATTTACCCCTTCACAGCATCGCAACCGTGCCGTGCCCTACCGATCTCCGGGAACTCCTGGATCCTCATCCCGGAGAGCAGCTTGGGCTCACTGACCCGCAGGCTCTTCACCTCGGCGTCAGTGTTGTTGGAGATCTGGATGTGGACGGCCACCATGTGGGGGTCCCCCGGGAAGGGCCGGCGGCTGAAGCAGTACTCCACCGAGAGCCCCTCGCCCGCCATGCGGTGCAGCAGCTCGTAGGTCCTCACCGCACCGAACGCAGGGCTCAGCAGCTGCCAGGGGCCGAGGGGCTGGTGTGGGATGCTGACCCCCCAGCCTGCAGCCCCCATGGGGGACAGGGGTCCTGGGACACCCCAGGAAGGGCATGGGGGACACTTACAGTGGGTGTCAGGGACGTGTCAGTGAGCGTGAGGCCCTCCAGGTCAGTCACCAGGCTGGTGGAGATGACGCTGCTGGAGGGGATGGGCTGGGGAGGAGGGGGGGTGACTGCAGGGGTGGGGGGAAAGGGTTAACAGAGCTCTGATGAGTCACAGTCCTATGGGGACTACCCCATTAGCCCCATGGGACAGCCGCATGGGGACAATCCTGTAGGAACAACCCCAAAGGCACAGCCCCCTGTCCCACAGCCACCCTCTGGGGACAAGGACTGCCCACCCCACTGGTCCTTGTCCCAGTTCTGCAGCTCCCAGAGGGCCGGTGGGGCCCTGACCTCAGTGACTGTTCCTCAGTTCCCCCGGTGCCACTGGCACAGCCACCCCGTGTGCCCTGGGCAGACACTCACAGTCATCCAGGTCGAGCAGGGAGATCTCCTTGGGGCCGGCCCTGCTTCTGGGGGGCTGCGAGGGGCAAAGAAGTGGGGGGGTGTAAGCGGGGAGTCCAGGTGTCCCTGTGCTATCCCCAGCCCAGCCCGGCCCTCACCGCCTTCCTCCGCTTGGCTTCTGCCTCGGAGCCCGACTCGGAGCCTGAGGAGCTGCTCTCAGAGGTGCTGGCCTCCTCTGATGAGGTCTCGGCATGGCCCTTCCTCCCCGGAGCTGCCTTCTTCTTCTTGGCCTTCTTTGTCCCCTCCTCTTCCTCCTCATCCTCGCTGGGGCTGTGGGGAGGGCCTGGCTCAGGGGAGGCAGGGGTTTGGCCGGGGCACCCCACTTTCCCAGGGGGTACCTGCCCGCACTCCCCGCAGCTGCCTGCCGGGAGCCTTCCTTCTCCTTCCTCTTCGGCCTCTTCTCCTCCTCCTCCTCCTTGTCCTCAGACTGCTCCCCGCTGCCTTCCTCCTCCTCTTCCTCCTCTTCCTCACTGCCAGAGCTGGAGCTGGAGCTGCTGGAGCTGCCGCTCTCCTCACTGACAGACTCAGGCTCTGCAGGCAGGGGGCACGGCTCAGCCCTGCTGCTGCATCCCCCCCACGGCCCCACAGCTCCCTGCTGCATCCCATTGCATCCCCCCCCAGCCTCCCACTGCATCCCCACACCCGCTGCTGCCTCCCCCCCACCCTGCTGCACCCCTGCACTGCATGCTCTTCACGGCATGCTCCCTCTGCATCCCTGTATCCCTGTGTCCTTCTACTGCATCCCTGAGCCATCCCTCCGTGTCCCCTGCCATGTCCCCACCATGATGGGATGTCCCTACGGCAGTGTCCCCTGCCCCATGCCCTGCCATGCCACTGGGTCCTCACCACTGTCCGCTGACTCCGTGGGCCCTGACTCCCCATCTGAGTCGGAGTAGAAAGGTTTCTCTGCCTTCTCCTTCCTCTTCTCCCGGCTGGTGCACTTGGTCCACTCCGGAACCTGCCAGAACAGGGCTGATGGAGCGGGGCCATTGCCCACGGGTGGGGGCCCCAAACAGCAGTCCTTGTCCCTCCCCTTCCTGTGCCCCAGTGGGGTGTGGGCACCTTCCTGCACCCTCTGAAGACCTTGAGATGACACCGCTGCCTTGGCCCCCATGCACCCAGCACCTTGGGATGCTCCACGCACCTCCACGTTCCTCACAGAGGGGTCAGGGGCCTCGTCCGGCCAGTCAGGCAGCTCCTGGTAGCCCACAGCCTTGGCGTTGAGCAGGTGGGACAGGGAGCCCAGCTGGAAATGGTCCCGATCTAGGGCAGGGTGAGAGGGGGCAGCAGCTCAGGGGTGGCCATGCAGCACCGTGCCGACAGCTGGCCCTGTGTCCCCATGGCCTGTGACCAGTGGGGGTACCTTTGA